TTCATGATGGGTAGTAATAATTTCACTCTTATGGGGGAATCTAGAATTTGTGAAAATGTGATGGCTTTTGGCATGTCAAGTTGTGAACAAATCTAGAAATAAATGAGATGTTCTGCACTAGCTATTAGATTAAGGCTATCAGATTAAAATTAATGGTAACTTTGGCCAAACATATTTGAAAACTTGTGTTGGACATCATTTGGATATGCAGCTAATCAACGAAAGGTGTTTTACAACTTACTTGACATGCTTTTAACTTTATCTATAGGGTGATTTCTAGTATTGTTAAAAAATTAACGATTGGCTAAATTTTGTGCTTAAATTTAATTTTTCGGAGTTTGTTATAGTCCACTTAAAGTTGGCACATAAGATTGGACTTAATGCTGTTATTATTATTTATTTATCTTCGTTGTCGGTGTAAGAGGGAATGGTTATGTAAGATATCATTTCTTTATTGATCTCATTGTTGGTTTTTTTAATGCTCATACAGATGCAATCAAAAAGAAAGTCGAAGCATGTGTCACTTGCTATTTTTCCAAGCTCAAGCAATGGAAGCCCATCTCGTTGTGGGAAATGACAATACTCTAATCAATTACACATTACTATCTAAACACTTTCTATAGCTCAATTTGATGTAAATAGGTTAATTCTAGTGTTGAAGTTACAGTTCATCTTTTTGTGGATAAATATTGGTCATTTAGGATTACGTACCGACTATTAATACTTGAAATATGTGCAATACAATTTTATTTCTGCAACGATATGTTTTCTTTTTTATTTATATTGTTTTCGATTATCGAAATTGTTAATTTCAATTGCCTTTGTGGTTTTTGAAAATTGAAATAGTGAATAAAATAATAGCAGGAATAAAAAGTAGGGTATTAATTAAAAATTAATATCAATGTTCACCAACCAAGGATTTGTTGCAAAAGTGTGTACAAATCAACTAGGTTTACCTTTACTGACCACAATTTGGGCGCTGGATGTTCACTACTAGCGAGCAAAGTGTTGGTCGCTAAAGACATTAACATTTACCAGTCAAAGTTTGGTCGCTAAAGATATATACATTACCAACCAATGGGTTACAAACGACATTCATGAGGATGAATCAACTAACCCTTTGGCGACCAATAATTGGTTGCTGTATGTTGTATATTCAAGGACCATACTATATTGGTCACTGAAAATCTACATCAACGACGTATTACCGACCAGCCAGCGACCTATAATTGTGGTCACTGAAGGTATTTACCTACCCAAAAATACCCTTTAGCAACCAATTTTGTCGGTTGCTGGACCCAATCTTTTTTGTAGTGGTAGGAGCCGATGCAAACATAAACAAAAATTTATTTTAAGAATTTAACCTTTCCAACTCTCATATCCCACTCAAAAATGACCTCCACGAGTAAACTTATTATGACATATTCACCCGATTTCTTTTCAAAATTACTTAAATCTTCTTTCAAGTTTGTATCTGTTGGTAAATTTGGTGCATAAATTATGTATTGAAAACTAACATTTTCCGTGTAAAAGAAATTGAAAAAGAAGAGTTGGACTCTTTTTTTTGTAAAATGATAATGCTTCTAACAGGTGCTATCAAACTCTAGCACTCGTCTCTCTACTTCATGTAATAGGATGCATCACATTATGAAGACCATCGAATCTGTTGATATTTAAATGAAACATTGGACTCAGATTTTGTGCAAAAATTATTTTAATACTGAATGGAGAAGAATGAAAGCCAGGATGAAGTGAAGTGTGTGAATTCTGCAAATTGGGGGGTCCTATATAGTAGTTAGAAAGTTGTGTGACAAAAGCCACAATTGTTGAAATTTGGTTGTGTAGACATAGTAGAAATATCATTTTGTTGGAGAAGAACTTTGTTAAACGTTTAAACTACTGAAACTACAATTGTTATATAATAATAGATTTGAGTACATGCATTTGCTGGTGGTGTTAATTATTGCTGGGAGAAGGTTTTTGAATTAGGTAGGATGATACATGTACACAACTTTTTTTGCATTGTCATTGAAGGGGATGTTTTATGATTAAGGGTCTTTTTTTTTTTTTTTTTGTACATCTTGCAGGGTGCGCAGAACTAGTTAGGAGACATCTGGATGAGTTTATGCCATGGTGAAAATTCAATTTGGTACAGTATCTCTAATGACGAGTTCTGAATCGGTTCAGAACAATGCTACGAAAAGCATTGGTGATTCCGTTTTGCCACCAATTTCAACGGATAAACTGTGTTCAAATGTGAGGGTTGAATTTATTGAACGTAAATACGATGTTAGATATGTTTGTAAGATTTCGGGATCTTTGAAGGTGACAATTCTAGCAAGGGGCCTTCTTATCAGGATTTTTTATGGATTCTGTTACGGGATGTGCTTCGACCTTGTTTGATCAATGTTAATTCTTTGTTGGAATTTTGGGAACCTGAGATTAGAGTTCAAGTGTCGTTTGTGGATGCTGGGTAAAAGATGATGTTTTTCATGAGATGAAGAGTTTTGGTTACTGTTTGAGGAGCTAGGTTATTTCGATGCAATCAAAATATTTTTTCAAGTGGAGAAATTTCGGAGCTTTGTTCATTGCACTGGGATTTGGGTTAAAGCGGAGATTGTTAGATTTTGTGTCCCAAATTAGAGTGGAATTTTTTGGAAAATATTGTTTCTTTATTTAGACATGATTTTATTCGAAAATTTTGATTCTTATGTTCACGTGATTTTATTGGAAAAGTATTATTTCCTTTATTCTACATTAATGTTATACTATTTCCATCTTTATGATATCTTTAGGGTTTGGAATGTTCCTATAAATATGTGGCTCTCCATTCAGTTTAGGTGAAACTTTATTGCTCAGTTCCTTGTATTCTTCTATATTGTTTTGAATAAAACATCGATTCCTCTGCTATTTTCTCGTCAATTGCTTTACTTTAATCTTGTTTCTATCGTTGTAATCTTGTCTACGTTAAATATTTCATATTGTGTCATTAAATCTCAATTCCTGCATCGCCTCCGAGTCCAACAACTACAAATCCCAAGGTTCTTGGTAAATAATAGTTTGTGGAGAAACAGTAATTAGCCATGAATGGTTTTTGAATTATATGGAGGCTGGAGCAAATTACTACTATACTATCTTTAAAAATATTATGATATATCTGGATAGGTATTAAAAAGGTTCTGGTGATCTTAGGGTATTAAGATACGGTGTTCAATCATTAAAAATAATTAAAGATAATGTAAATGAGTAACTTATAGGAACGACCTATAGTTTTGCATGTGAGATGACTTCTCTTGGTGGTAATTGGTTTAGAAAGAAACAATTGAAGACAGATTTTATGGGATATTTATATTGATGATAGGACAGAAAAATAAACAGTTTCTATGCTGCTGTGTACAAAGCTTCTTTATATTAACCATGGATTTTTGTCCTTAGAAAGTGAAAAAATATTTGCTGCAAAAATTATGGATATCTAGGAAGTCCACTTATTTCTTATCCCAAGTAATATTATTGCAGGTATGTGAACATAGAACTCTCCTTGAAATTAGTAAACTTGAACCACATTTTATTATCTGTAGCCAATAGATCAAATCTCAGCCTTGTCTCGTTTGCGTACATTTATGGTTGTTAGGATACATCAACACACAACTCTTATGTCTAGAATGAATTATTTTTTGGTTATACAGATATATTTGCTACAAATATGGTAAGCACTGATATTCTTATTTTTAATAATATCATATATTTATATACAAATTTTGATGGCATGTAGATGTTTACAAGTAAAGAGGCCTTGGTTGATTGGGTTGAAATAACTAGTAAGAGACATAACATGGCTGTTGTGATGAAAAAATCCGAATTAGGTCAAGTTGGGAGAAAACCAATAATTGATTTTGCATGTGAAAGATATGGTTCATATAGGGGTAAGAATACCAACAACGAAAAAGAAATGTGGAAGAGACGTAGAGCTACTAGAACCAAAAAGTGTTGATGTCCGTTTGCTTTGAATGGAAAAAAATTGATAAATGATGATTATTGGGTATTGAAAGTGAGATATGGGAGGCGTAATCTGATATTGCACAGAACCTTGGAAGATATTCATATGCCGGAAGACTAAATGAGAAAGAGACTTCAATTTTGATAGACATGTCAAAGAATCATGTGAGATCAAAGGAAATCTTATATACATTGAAACAAAATGATGACACTAATGTTAGCACATTGAGGCACGTCTACAATGCAAGTTTAGGCTCAAAGAACAAGTTGGAAAGACACAAATGCAACAACTAATGAATAGGCTTGTTAAAGACAAGTACATAGAGTGACACCATACCTCTAAGGAGACAAATATAGTTAGAGATTTGTTCTGAGCACATCCATATTTAGTAGATTTGTTATAGGTTTTTCCTCGTGTGATAATTATGGATTGCACATTTAAGACAAACAGGTATCACTTGCTGTTGTTTGAGATGGTAGGTGTCACTTCTACTGATTTAACATTTTTGATTGCTTTTACATACTTGAAAAAAGAACGTGAAGAAGATTACACATGAGCTTTGGAGAGATTGAAGAGTCGACTAGATGATATAATAATGCCTAGTGTAATGGGATGATATAATAATGCCCATGTGTTGGCAAAAAAAAAAAACACACACACACACACACACATTTTGAAGACAATGATCAATGGGATGCTTTATGCATATGTAGAATTTATTTGTACTATCAAAATCTATAGTGGAGTACAAGCAAAATCTCAATCTCTTGGAATCTAATTTTCAACAGTTTTCACAAAAAATCAATTATGTCATGAATTCATGGATTTTTCAATGTAAAGAGAAATTTGTGGCAATTTGGACTAATCTATATATGCACCTTGGAAACACGACAACTAATAGGTAAATATACTTATATTATTATTTAAATTAGTTAGAGAAAGGTGCATGAATTTTACTTATATGAAATTATAATATTATTACAATACTCTTGTTTTATTCATGTGGTAAGGCTGAATCTGCACATGCGAAACTTAAGAGACATTTAGGGTCTTTTCAAGGCAAGTTTGACACATCAATGACTAGAATTTGAGATTAATTGTGCATCATTATTTGAGATGATTCATAAACATTATCAAGATAATAATGATCATGTAAAGGTAGAAATCCTACATAAATTGAAAGAGGTTGCTAGTCCGAGTTCTACATCATTAGTTGAGTCACAAATCAAAACTAAGACAAAGGGTCGTCCATCTTCAAAGACGGCTATATCCACTCGTCGAGACCCATCATATTTTGAGTTGGTGCTATCTGGACAAGACAAATATATTACAACAATTGGATAGTTCCATTATGCCTTTAAGTCAGCCTACACTATCAAGCAAGCCTCCAATTCGGCAAAAATATAAGGTGTATAGAGCACGTGAATCAAAGTCCATGATTTATTTGGATTCATTTTCTATTCGTTTGAGACCTTACATGGTGTTAAGGATGTGATCTCAATGGTAATTGTAGTTTTCGAGCTGTGGTTAATATTATAGGTATAGGTGAAGAGAATTGGCATTTGGTAAGAAAAGACCTAGTAATAGAGCATAAATCTCATTTTGATGATTACTCTAAACGTTATGGCAATGTTGATATGGTCCATGAATTGATCCATTCACATTCTCATTTTGATGGTTCTGCTAGTCATGAGTGTTGGATGACCATGCCGATTACGAGTCATGTTATTCCTTCAAGATATAAGGTTATTCTTGTTCACTTGAGCCAAGAGCAATGTCTTTTTGTTAGGTTTAATTGTGATTGGTAGTTCTGTGAAAAAAAAAGGGTAAAATTGAAACAGTGTTGAAGTCGACGAGTCATGTGCAATATTGTAAAAAGTGATTGGTCTGCTACGGTTTAATGTCAAAGCAAGAAAGAAAGGACCGTCACATTTTCACTTGATTCTCTCCAACACACTGCTCAAGTGGCACATGCAGAGAGGACGTGGCTAGCTTCTCACCAAGCTTTTGCTAGAGCAAAAGACCGTCGCTGTCTTTCACTGGACGTCGCTCGAGTGACAGTCTTTCCGTTGAAACCCTAAATTTTATTTTTCGAGAGTTTTAACCATTCCAAACTATCCAAAACATCCCATATATAAATATTTATGCCATTTCACAAAAAGAGCCTGGATTGTCCATTAGAGAAAACACTTGCATCCTTCAGAAAATATACACTCCATTCTTCATCAACTTTGGCGATTGAAAAAACATCAAACCTAAAATTCGAATACCAAAATCAAAAGCTTCCAGAGGATCTATACGAGATTGAAGATCAAGGAAGGTGATCGGAGCTCCAGTCATTGGAGAACGAGAAGTTGACATGACCCGTTCCGAATTACCCTAGTGGACCCGAAATGTGACGTGCGTCTATGATAGATGCTGACTAGATGTCAAATCTGTCACCAATGCTGACTATGAGTTACTTCAAAAAATGCAACAAAATCAAATGTTTATGTAAAACATAATGTGATGGGCCCAAATTATTTATTTCATGCTTCATCAAAATGAGTTATAATATTTAACATGTCGTGTGACTCTCAATTCGAAATCATTAGGCTCTTCCAGCAAAAAAAAATCAATTGCTACATGTAGGAAAAACTACGAGAATATATATGAGTTGATAGTTCAGTGAATGAAGAAATTCAAAAATAATTATATTTTTTCAATTTTACATCTTTATCGAAAATCGAGTTCGTATCATTGAATAACTTACAAGATAACATTATATAATTATAGCCAAAATGTGAGACATTCATATAATGCGATAAAATATCATCTCAAGTCATGATATAAACATAAGCTGGTAATCATGCTATAACCTCTTCACATCAAATGTACTAGAAAATCCACCAAAAATATACCCTTTGACTAAAATCTGTAATCCGCCCATCGGGCCAAACACTTTCACCACGGGCCTTTGTCCCCCTCCGTGAACGAAAGTGGATCTCAAAAACTTCTGATAATCAATTCTAGAACACGACCAAGGCCCCTCAGTGAACTATATGTACATGGTCATGACCCCTTCATCCCTAGTTGACCCCTTAGTGCAATATAGAACACGACCAAGGCCCCTCTATGAACTAGAAGAAATATATAATCACGAGTACTTTTCTGATCGATCTTAATATCACATGTCTCACATTCCAAATCACAAATATTTTCATATCTAATCTTTGAATTCCACAAATATCAAAATGAAAGAATATTTCCAAAATAATCATGTAATCAAACATATAAATGCACATAATGTATTGGTATAATTAATTTATCAATATTTGAAAATATTTAGGGTTTTTCCACTCACAGGACTAATTCGATCATCAAGTGTCCTGACCTCGATATTTCCTGAAAAGTGTGACATTTCTTCATATTAGCAACCATTTAATCCAACCCCCTAACCAATGGACCAAATAAATATCCAATTGCAGTCACTTTCTAATTGAAAATAATTACTATTGTTTAAAGGTAAAAGAAGAATTTAAAGCAGAGTCCCATTCTTTTCTCTCTTGTTGCAGGTACCAATTAATAACAATTAGTCAAATCCATAATCAAAACTCCTTTAACTTATTTTACTCAGTGAATCATAACTCAATTCGTTCCTGTTTCTATTCAATGTATATAAATTTCTGTCCATATAATACTTCACAATTTGAAGCATTGGTTTAACTTTGAAAATGAAGCAAAACAACCTAGCCCCATAAAATTAAATTATAATTCACCATAATCTTGCCCATGTAATTTCTTTATTGAAAATAAGTTATTAAATTTCTTTCATGTAGAATTCATCAGTAATGTCTTAATAAGTCTCCAAAGTTTAAGCCAAATATTGTCATGTTGTTTCTCCACTCCTTTACTAATGTTCAATGGTGGACCTATATTCATAATAACCCTACTTACCTTTGTTGAACTAACCCATCTCTTGCCTTAGTACCTTTATTTAGCTATATATGGGCATCATTATGCGCAGCCCATCACGTAAAATTCCAATTATTTTCTGATTAAATTCTTGTTCACATAATCAAATTAACCCATTTCCCTTCTTCCTTAGGGCTTGCCCTGCTTCTTGGGTCTAATTGCTTCCAATAACCATAATGATGAAAACAAAATCCATATACCCGAGCTACTACAATTTGGTGTAACCTTGTTGCAGTCAAGAATCAACCCCAATCGAGAAGCATAATTCGACCCTGTTTACATCAATGTTGCTGCTCCTTTCCCTGTTTATTTACAATTCTATTTGTTGTTTCTCTTCCCCTCTTTTCTCTCTCTTTTTCCTCATGTTTCTCGATTCTTCTCTAATGCTTTTTGCATTTTTTTTTCCCATTGTTTTCTACCTCTATTTGGGTCTCTGGAACTCAATGCATTTTTTGCCTCAAACATGAGAAATTTTGATATTTATCTCTTAATTAAATGGATAACTATAGAACATTGCAAGTCAAGCCCCTTAATCTTCATTCAATATTATATTTAGTCCTTAAATCCTCAAAAATAGAAATTATATCCCCAAATTCCTGTATGACACTCTTTCTTACAATTTAAGTCCCATAAAAATCATTTTTTCAACTTAAGTTTCTTATTTGACCAAATTCTTAATTGACTCTAATTATAATGAGTGGGGTATAAAAAAGTTCTCAGGGAATCCATAGGAGATAGACGAGATTAGAAGTCCGGAGTTGGTGTAGGAGCACGCAATTCAAGAGGGCTTCGGGAATTGCAGTACATGATGTCAGAAAGAACGTGTGCGGGTCTAATCTAGCGGTACTATAAGTTGTGTTCGTTTATAGTGGATTCATACTGGCTTGTGCCCGAAGTTTTACCTAGTTTGGGGTTTCTTCGTCATCAAATTCTTTGTGTTCTTTACTTTCCAGCAATTTATTATACTGCGATAATTTAGCATAGGATAGGTTACATGTAAATTGGACTAGACGAATTAATAATCATACTGTGCTGCAATTGTTAATTGAAATTTGTTAACTTCCGTGTAAACACCTATTCGCTCCCCTCTAGGTATTATTTGGGTCGAACTGTGTAACTTTCACTTACATTACTTCCACTTTGGGATAAACCACTTGCAATCGCATTCCATAGGATTGTTGCAATTGGATTTGTCAATGACTATCATTTTGTTTTGGTAAACATCTATTAACTTATTTAGCAAAACGATATTTTTACTTATATTTTTTCATGTAACTTTGTGCATGTGAATTGGCATACTAGTGAACCACTACCACTTACTGCTCGTAATTGGCACAAGTATTATCATCCATATGCAGAGGGCTAAGCTACACCATACAATGCTTGAACACAACTTTTTAAGTCTCTAGTAGAAAAAGATGTAGCTATATCAAAGATAATGGACTTCGATAAATCATAAGTTGAGAAAGATTTAATAATAACACTACTACTACTACTATTATTATTATTGTCATAATTGATTTTGAGCTTATAATTTCTATGCAGATTATTGTTGTGATGATGGCCAACACTTATGATTTTGGAGCCAATACCTAACATATCCACTTTAGAGCTATGAAATGGTTAGCCTAAAAAATATACGAATTGTATCATTTATTTCAAATTCATACATAAATTTTACTTATTTCAATATTATACATAACCTCAGAAAGTTGATTTTTATTGAATACAAAAATGAATATTCGTCAATCAAATACAACGGAACAATTCATGTGGCAAATAACACACCTACGGGACTTTTAATTTTACCATGCTCAAAATTCCATGTTTCTTCCCTTGTGGATATTGTTCATATTTCTTGTCTAAATGTTAATAATTTTGGTTGATTTTTCTCAACTTTAGACTTCTACTCTAAGATCTGATTTCTAATTTTGTTTTACCCCCGTCTAAGATCTTTTGAAATTTGAAGTAATTATTCTTAGTGTTCTTTGCCAATATTTTATTTTAGATTTACATACTTGGATTTTCTTTAAAGTTAATACATTAAATTTCATATTTTTCCTTCACAAAATTTCATGGTTATTTTTTTTTTTCATTTATTTTTAATCAAGTAGTTATCTTAGTCATGATTTGCAAGTATAAATCATTTACATGTTTCAAAAATTTCTCACCACGTGAATGTAATGTTTAAATTATGGTCTAACTTTCTCTTTAAGCTTTTGAAGATGCAATCAGTCATTAACTCCCATATAAGCATATGGATTCTAGGTAGGTTGTGTACATAATAAAGTGGTCTGATTTTATTTTGTCCTTATTGTGGTTCACCTTTGATTATGCATTTTATGTTTCTGGTTGTATAGGGATTCAGAGGCACTTGAAGAAAAGGCTGCTAAGAAGGCAGCACAGGTTGTTGGTGCCCATGCTAGAGGCAAAAGCAACAAGGAATAGGAAATTTTCTCATTCATAAGTTTCACAATCTATATTTCTGCTTATAACAATCTTATAGTACTTTCTCCCTTCATTTTATATTTCAGCTTATTAAAAATGTAAAATTGAAACTGAGATGTTTGTCTGTTTTTGGATTTGAATTTTTGTTTGTTTTTGTATCAAACAATTTAGATTTGAGAGTTTTCCTATGATTATAAATAAATTGAATTTGACTCTCCATGTTTCTTGATCTTTGTGATACCACTGCGGTTTTGTTATCGGTTTCCTTTTTCCTTCTATGTAACAATTGAGTATTTATTCAGGTTAGCAAGGACTATTTCGCTCACCTACTATAGTCTCTTGCAAATAATGAGTTCAAAAGGGTTACCTGCTGCACATACTTGCTTAAACTTCTATCCACTTCCATTTGATAAATCCTAACATAGTTATATGCAGGTCATCTCTATTTATCCTCTTCTTTCACTCTAATTTGTCCAAGGCCATTTCCATGTATTTCTACAAGTTCCCACTTGAGTTTTACGAATTGAGAAAGAGTGGAAGACTGAGATCATTCATTCAAAAAGTTTCTATGGGTAAATCATTTTTGACGATTTTTAAGGGTTATGATTCAGAAAGTTTATATTGATTTTCTCTCTTCTTTCCAGTTTCCACCATAATTTTGGGAACATATCATAATAATTATAGCTAATATAAATGCAAGATCTTACTTGAAAAAAGGGCTAATGACATAATAAATATAGAAAACTGTGAAAAGAAATATATAGTATGTAAATTTTTGCAGTTGTTAGCTCCAACTGAACCAACACTTTATCCAAGCACAAGTGCAGTTTTAGTTCGATTCAATCTAAGAACAGGTTTCTTTAACGCTTCAATATACACAACTTGAAAACTCACATGATGGCAATCATAATCAGTACTGCAATAATCCTTAAACAAACTAGCTAGAGAAAGAGATTGAAGAAAAAACAATTATCCTTCAAGCATATTATGCCATAGTTACTATTTTGTATATTTAGACTTCTAGCGATGCATATGTTTGAGTTACAATTCAATGTTTTATTTTTAACATTCAAGTTTGAGGATCGAATTAGTAACCGTAAGTGAAAAATTGCAGAAATTAAAATGAAAGAACACAGAGATTTTTCGCCCTCGAAAGAGTTCGGATGTTCAGTCGTGAGACCTAATCACCCATTGAGCATCCACTAAGGGATTTAGCTCAAGATCCACTAGTATCAACCAAGAAACAATACAAATGTGCAAAGAAATCTCAGATTTCTTCGTATTTCTCTCGCCTCTTTTCACAACAGAAAGAACCTCACAAAATCAATATCTGTCGATTGTACTAAACAATCAGATTCTATCACTAAGAACAACCATTTCAGTCACAAAGATTGATTTCAATTTTAGAGATCCAAAAACCTAATTTTCACTCAGAAAATGGAGAGAGACGAAGAGACTGAAAGAAGGATCCAGAGAGTGTGAATAGTGCCAAGGTCAAATATATATCCGATCAATTCAACAGTCACAATCAAAGGGCTGCAATGTAGCCACATGGATGGCAGATTCACATTCCCTCCGAGGCTAATGTCGTGTTTCCAAAATACGATTTGATAAAAGGGCCAGCAACCCGGTTATCTATTGTTGGCCTCAACAAAGATGCGGCCAAATATCCCAAGATTTAATGAGGCAGCCTAGATTTCTTAACAATCTCCACCTTGCTGAGTTGAATATTGGTCTTTACTAATGGATCTTGTTACTAAATTAGTTAACTTCACTTGCTCTAAATTCCTATAAAAACAAAAAATTTAAATCAGTTAACCTTATCATAAACAACACTTGAAGTTCTAAATTTATCACCCCTTTATGTGATATTTAGAATCTCCAAGCAGAATTTAAATTCGTTTAGAGGCAGTACCTTAGTTCCCAAATCAGAGGGATTGAACTCTGTAGGAATTTTAACCAATTTGATCAAATCTTTTTCGACCATATTTCGCACAAAGTGAAATTTTATGTCTACATGTTTTGTTCTATCATGATATACAGGATTCCTACTAAGATGTATTGCACTTTGATTATCTGTATAAATGTTAACAGAATTATTTGCAAAGCCAATTTCATTTAGTAAACCTCTTAACCAGATGCTTTCTTTAATAGCATCACAAGCTGCAATATATTCAACTTCTGTAGATGATAAGGCAATTAATTTTTGTAGTTGTGACTTCCAACTTATACATCCATTACACAGAGTATAAATATAGGAAGATGTGGAGCTTCTCCTATCTAAGTCACCCGCAAAATCTGAATCTGTGTAACCCCTCAAAGTTATCTCTTCATTGTTTCTTCTATACATTAGACCTAATTCAGATGACCCTTTTAAGTATCTTAACATCTATTTTATTGCAAGCCAGTGAGTTTCACCTAGGTTGGCCATGTACCTACTTAAAACACTAATTCCATGTGCTAGGTCAGGTCTTGTGCAGACCATGAGATACATGATAGAACCTACAGTGTTAGCATAAGGTACTTTCTCCATTCTTTTTAATTCATCATCTGTTGCAGTTTAAAGTGATTAGCAATAGGAAGAGTAACTGGTTTACAATCGAGCATAGAAATTTTTTCAAGAATTGTCTTCACATAAGATTCTTGTTTTAACACTAATATGTACTTATCTCTATCTCTATCTATTTCCATTCCAAGAATCCTTTTAGCTTGTCCTAAATCCTTCATTTCAAATTCAGATTTTAACTTTGATTTAATGAAGTCTATTTTATTTCTATCATGACAAGCAAGAAACATATCATCCACATATAGTAACAAGTAAACTGATTCAGCTCCACCTGAACCTTTATAAAAGAGATAGGAGTCATAATAGCTTATTACAAAACCTAAAGTCTAGACAAATGAATTAAATTTCAAATACCATTGTCTAGGAGCTAGTTTAAACCCATAAAGAGATTTTTTTAAGCAAACAAACCTTTTCTGATTTTGATTTAATTTCA